ATGATCTAAATACATGTGTGCCTATTGGTTAGTTTGGACTCTTTTTTTTTTTTTTGAACAAATTGAAATTATTTACAAATATTAATTGGGGGAAGGGGAAAGGGGTTCTGTGGAGCTCGAACATGCCACTCACAAGAGGCGAACAGCCCTAACCCAGGGTCCATGCCACTGGGCTGGGGCGGGCTGTTCAGTTAGTTTGGACTTTTTTAGGTAGACAGATTATAGAAAATAATTTAGTTATAACTATATGTGATATTATAAGTTTATAATATAATATATAGTTATATAATTAATTTTCATTATTTTCAGAGTCTATTTATAATACCATATATGATCAACAACTTGCTCACAATAGAAGCAGCTAGGACAAGCACTTAGACTCACCTTTTCCAGACTTGCTCATAATAGAAGCAGCTAGTACAACCTAAATCATAAACAAAAGGTGAATGAGAAGAAACCCACAGAAATATCAATAAACGAAGCACTTATACTCATAATTAAGCTTTCCAAAACCCATCTATATTTCTTTGGGTGATAGCAATATTTTCTCCGCATATACATATTAAATTTGAGAAGATAAATAAGTATATGATCCAGTAACTACAACCAAGCTAGTCTATGATAATAATTGGTGTACAATTAACTTAATTCGACATCTAGTTATTCTCAAACAGAATCAAACACAAACAAAATGAGGAACTGATTTTAAAACGCTACAATTGAGAGAAGGAGAAATTCTACTGTGACATTATTTAAGACGAATTCATCAGCTAGAAAGCTGAAAACTAGGCATCATTATATAGAGCAATATCGATACCATTTTCGTGCAGTGAGAAGCAACGATCAAAAGAATACCACAGAAGAGCTTTCACAATGAACCTAGAAAAGGAAGAGCAAGTTAGCATCATCAGAATCACAATATGAAGCAAAATTCAGAGAAAATAAAAATAAATAAATAAATAAATAACATGTTAAAAGATCTACACAATATAGAAAGGGCCGGATCTACAGAATATGAAAATCTACATCAATATCAAACCTAATTGCAGCATTTGGAAACTGTCCAGAAAAAGCAAAATCAGAGAGAACAGCGATTCATATAATAATTTTCAGATAAGATGAAATTCTGCAACTGCTGAAATGGACTGGATGCTTAAATTTTGCAATTTTCGAAGATGAAATGGAGAGAAACGGAGGAGAAGAAAATCAGATCTATACAATTTGTTCTTCGAAATCAAGGGTAGGGTTTCAGTGCCAGGAGCTCTGAGAGGGAGCTTACCTTGATCCGGTAGCTGTCTTTAGAGCGAAAGACTTCTCCCTCGCTAAGCCCATGTTTTTTTTTTTTTTTTGAGGAAGCTAAGCCAGTGTTGCTTTAGCAAACAGAAACGAGACACTTTTCGATGGGCTTCCGACGTCAATATCGGCTAAATTTTGGATTTTTTGGGCCCAAATGATTGGATTTGTAATTTTGTTAGACCGGATTGTCCCAGCCCGATATCTCCTTAAGTAAAAATAATCAAATCGTAAAACGGTTGTGCGAATTATATAATTAAAATCAATGAGTTGAGTCAATGATTACGAGTTTAAAATTTTAAATTCTACTCTTGACTCAAGTAGAGAGAGATTTAAGAATAAAAGAGTGTTATTCTTTTTGTATAACTTATAATAGTAAAATTGATTAGAGGAGGGATGAATTTCTTATAATCCCTATTTGTTATTATTATTCTTATTTTTTTAGTTTAAATTATAAAATAAAAAATTCTAATCAAATTAACTTAATAAAAATACACAAGTTAACTCATATTTAAGATTATAAGAATCAAAGAATAGAGTACAATAACTTAACACCTTAAATTGAGTCTACAAAATCTAATAAAAAGCCTAATTCTAAAGGCCTGAAAGTTCACTCCTTGGATAAAGGACACTAGGACTACTAGAGTCTCGTAACGTAGATGCCAACCTCGCAGCTATAAATACCCCTAACCCGAAAGGCTAGTCATTTTTTCTATGCTCACCACTCTCTCTGCACTTCATATTCTTTTATTTGGAATCCTCTCGCAGGGTATTACTAATTTAAATATATATTTAAGGGGGTGATTCAATAATTAAGATTTTAAAATTTTTAATTAAAAATTTTAAATTTAAACATTGTATCAAGTGAAGAAAAATTTTTAAAAAAGAGAAAATTATCTCGTTTTGTATAATCCTCATCCCCATCCCTTAGTCTATTTTGCAGGCATCCTCTTGTAGGTCTCTTTAGTCAACCTTTAGTTTGGATGTGTATGGCAACAATAACTAATCAAGTACTTAATACAAATTCTTATATATATATATATATATATCACTAAATTAGGGAATTCATAAATTGCAAATTTGCAATCGGGGATCATAAGAAGTAATCAGAATTACATGTCAAACACTAGAATCAAGAAACCCCAGAACAGATGAAACAACAAATGGAGAAAGTGAACCAATGGATGAGGAAGTGAATCATTGGATATTTGAGTCAAGCAACAAGAACAAAAAGACCTTAAAAAAGCACACATCTAAACTGATGGAATTTTTGAGAAAGGAGAAAAACTCAGAAGTTAGATGTCAGAA